AATTTACTTGTTAACACACACACACACACACACACACACACACACACACACACACACACACACACAATTTATCCCACTTTTTAATATAGGAGATCACAAAAATCTCGAGATAACTTAAGATGAAAAAGTGACCGTGAAAGCATATTTTACTCTGAGAACAGATGCAAAAATAAAACCACAATCTTCTCCCTCAACGTTCTCTACCTTAGCGGCAATAAGTGCTAAATATCTCATTTCAAAATGCCATATTTTACCCGTCACTTTAAGTCAGCAAAGCAATAAAGTAAAAATTCTTTGCAACAATAAATGAGTTTCATGCACTTGTTATTTCTTGTATAACCTCTTACAATAATACAGAAAACTATTGTTTTCTGTGAGATTCCCATACTCTATGAAGAGATTATCAAGGAGGGAGAAGTTTACCTCTATTTTATATTAACACTATTCTTCCTTAAAAATTCTGGTCATTCTATTTTGTTGGAGGTCAATCAATGAAAAAGCTCTGTGAAATGATGTTCTAGTTAAATGTTTCTTTTCTTGGGGAGCTTGGGTGGCTCAGTCAGGGAAGAGTCAGACTTTTGGTTTCAGGTCATGGTTTGTGAGTTTGAGCTCTGCACCGGGCTCTGAGCTGACAACCGGGAGCATGTTTGGGACTCTCTCCCTCGCTCTCTGCCCCTCCATCTCAAATGTAAATAAAAATAAAATAAAATTTGAAAAAAGTTTTTCTTTTTTTAAAACGATTTTATTGAGAAAAAGAGTGCGAGTGCGTGCATGCACGAATGGGGACAGGTGTAGAGCAAGAGAGAGAATTTCAAGCAGGCTGCATGCTCAGCACAGAGCCCAACACGAGGAGCTTTGATCTCACAACCCTGGGATCATGACCTGAGCCAAAATCAAGAGTCAGATGCTCAACTGACTGAGCCACCCAGGTGCTCCTTTAAGATTTTGTTTTTAATGTTTATTTATTTCTGAGAGAGAGAGAGCATGAACAGGGGAGGAACAGAGAGAGAGGGAGACACAGAATCTGAAGCAGGCTCCAGACTCTGAGCTGTCAGCGCAGAGCCTGATGTGGGCTCGAACCGACAGACCGCGAGACCATGACCTGAGCCGAAGTCGGATGCTTAACCAACTGAGCCACCCAGGCGCCCCTAAGATTTTGTTTTTAAGTAATCTCTGTACCCAATGTGCAGCTCAAAACTACAACCCCGAGATCAAGAGCTGCACACTCCACCAACTGAGCCAGCCAGGTGCTCCTCTAGTTACACATTTCTATTGAAGTAATTCGGTGTAGACATTTGTTCTCCTGACCTTTGGGTAGGGTCCAAGAAATCAGAGTTCGGTGCAACTACTGCCCCTAAAAAGTCATAAGTAACTCTCAAAGTACTTAAAACTACCATGAATGAAATACTGTGCGACCTGTGATGTCAAAATTAGACTCACCGATAATAGATGTTCTGGGACAGTAATTGTGATCTTATGTCTAACATATTGTGAATGGCAGTTCCTCCAACCCCCAACGTGCCCGGCACTACTTGGGTACAAATGGAGCTATGACTTTATGGCTACAATGCCTTGCTTACCGCAGGCCTCACGGAGGTCCCAAGCATCTGTCCGTTTTGATGGCTTTGTTCATTGCAACTGGCAACTTCTCCCAGTCCTAGAAGGACACCCTGAGGGCCCATTAAGAGCCTCATCAATATCATGAATTCCACTTTACTTTGAGCCTCATTATTTTTCCAGAGTTCAGATGCCCTTTCTTATACATTTTTTAAAAAACTCTAATGAATGAACAGATATTTATCATCTGACTTAGATTGGGAAAAGAAATACAGCCAGAGAATCTATTTCCTTTCTCTTGTCAGTCAGGCAAAGGGGAGATGAGTCATGAGAAGCTTTCTACATTCCATCGTCAGGTCATAGCTGCAGAAAGTTCCACATTTCCAACAGTGTTGCGTTGGCACCCATTTTCCCAAGGAAGACGGCTGTTGTGCCTGCCATCTGCGTTCTAATGGTTCTCTTAGTGAACAGCATTTGTGGTTTTGCCAAGTCACCCAGCGACTCAGTTTTACCCACTGCCGTGCTGCAGGGACTAGGAAGAGAAATCAAATGCAGCCATGGTTCTCAAACTTTAATATGGATTGCTGGGCCCCACCCCCAGAAGTCCTGATTCGCTAGACACTGGGTAGGGCTAGGGAATCTGCCTTTCTAACCAGTCCCCAGGTGATGTTGACACTGCGCCTTCAGGAATCACACGTTTTGAGACCCACTGAAGGAAAGGCTATCTATCAACAATGAAATTTGCAGAATTCCATCTCCCGTTTGCCTGACTTACAAGAGAAAGGAAATAGATTTATTAAGTATCGCCCATAATGAGAGTCACCTCCTTGTATTCAATCTTCTCAACACCACCCTACAATATAACTATGACATTATTTTACAGAGGAGAATGTTAAGCCTCAGAAATTAAATGAATTAAATGAGAACACGGTAAACAAATACAAGTTTGTCCACCTCCAAAATCTGTATCCTATGTGCTATGTCCAGCCAATATCCAGTCAGTGTAGCTGTATCTGTGCCGAGCTTTCATTTCATTCTACTTTTATGTAATGGCTAGTCTTCTACTCTGACTGTCCTAGTCTTTTAAAAATTATCGTTATATGGGGCGCCTGGGTGGCGCAGTCGGTTAAGCGTCCGACTTCAGCCAGGTCACGATCTCGCGGTCCGTGAGTTCGAGCCCCGCGTCGGGCTCTGGGCTGATGGCTCAGAGCCTGGAGCCTGTTTCCGATTCTGTGTCTCCCTCTCTCTCTGCCCCTCCCCCGTTCATGCTCTGTCTCTCTCTGTCCCAAAAAAAATAATTAAACGTTGAAAAAAAAATTTAAAAATTATCGTTATAAGCTGACTCAAATTATCTTTAAAAATAGATGAGATACACATTTCAGGGCGTCTGGCCAGCTAGTCGGTAGAGCATGTGACTCTTGTTCTCTCTCAGGGTGGTGAGTTCAAGCCCCATGTTGGGTGCAAAGCTTACTTTAAAAAAAAAATAGATAAGATACACATTTTAAATAAACACAAAAGAGCTTAAGGTAATTATTAAAGAAGGATGTTGTGAACTGACTGCATTTTCCGAACAAAAAATTGAGGTATGTAACACAATCAGGATGACCCAAACTTTGTGGAAGTAGGTCAGATTAAGCCTGCTTGGTCCCAAATATTATATTATTTTGCATGCCCTGTTAGCAAAAGAGAAAACAAAAACACACAAAAAAAGCAAAAAACAAAAAAACCCCACACCTTCCTTTGCTACCATGCTTGTCCAAAGAACAAAGTACTTAATTTGAATTATTCAACTAGTGAAAAAAATCCACATCACTGAGTTCCTGATGTCTTGCTTTTACCCGTTTGATTTTAAAATGAACTAGCAGTCAAAGAAAGGCTGCCTAATTACAGGATGAGTCCCAGTCTTTTCAAAAGACCATTGTTCTGACTTAATTAACATGAACTAAAACAGTCCTAAAACAACAGGGCACATTCCCATTAGGATAAATTACCAAGACCTAGTCAAGGCAGCAAAGGATTCCCCAGAGGAAAATCTGTCACTGCTTTTCCACCTGCACTACATCTCTTTCTCAAAGGACTCTGCTACAGCTGGGAGCCTCCCTCTGGATGGGGCATCTGTTCTATATTGAATTTGCTCCATTTTGAGAGCTGTGGACCATGGATAAAAGGTGAAGGAAAATCCTAGACGGTCAATACCACCATGGCTGGGGATGTGACATTCTAGCTTAGTAGCTCTGGTCGCCTACGAAACACTTTTATTCTGGTCTCAAATGTTCCATGTAGAATATTTAAAAGTGTGGTGCTGTTTCCTTTAATTTGGGGAGGAATGGGTTAGTTGATGGGAAAACGCTGTGTCCTTAGCAGGATTCATAATGGAGCATGCTGGTTTGGTAAGAGGCTGAGTGGCGGAGCTGGGCCCACCTGGCTTTGTCCCTTGGAGGCGACCGCTGCATCACCTCCTTACCCTCGGCTTCGATTTCCTTATCCATAAATGGCGAGCTCAGTACCATTTCCCAGGGTTCATGCTCATTTACAAATGTTGGCTAATATTACCCACGTGCAATCAGTTTGTGGTCGCTCACATATTAGAAGACATTCCCCAAGGCTTGCATCAGCCTCGTGATAACTGATACAGCACATTTTTCTTTTCGGTGGGCCTCTTCTTTCTACATTCTAAATAGAGTATGAACCGGCTAATTAATTAGGCCTGAAAAAAATTCCGCTTGTGCCATCATCAGGAATGAAATCAGGTTTGAAACTAGAGCAGTATAAAAACACTTAAGTTTTTAGTCTTTTGCAATTTTTAAGTCTTTTCTCATTTGGCAATAATTTTTCTTCCCCAATTACAAAGCTCACAGACGATGGCGTGAATACGTAACTTCTGTGTCCTGAGTAATTCTGTGTGGTGCTGAACAAATTAACCTGCATTTGTCATGTGATGGGGGGAGGGTGGGAACTAAGGGCTTAAAATAAATGCAAGAAAGATGGCAGACTAATCTATGTCCAAACAGTTACAATACTAAGGAAGCTCGGAGTTGAATGGACTTTTAAAGAATTTATTCTATGAAGAATAGACCAGGTGATGGCCACAGACATGACAACTGGGGGTCTAAAATGAATAGAGAAAAGGTCTTTTTCATCACAAAAATCAAACTCTACTCCCAGTCCCTCCCTCAGGGTTTGTGTTGAGTTTCCAGACGCTGAAGCTCTCTATGAATAGTCAGCGTTCACTACTTTTAGGTAAATTCACCAAAATTCCATTTTTGTTAAAAATTGTGAAGAACATTTCTGTGAAAGCTGGTGAAATCAGCTTTTTGGCCGGTTCCATTTTTCTGCTTCTCATCTTAGTAAAACTATCATCTGTTCGTACGACACACCCGTAAGCAAGGAAAACAAAGACAGAATCCTAGCATTTAGTTTTTACATTGTCCCCATACTGAGGGCTAGTAGCCTTCGTGAAGCTTCGTGTGGGAGTAGAACGCTTCTTGATCCTGGAAGGTTTTTCCACAGATGCTGCAGGAGCAGCCCTCATCTTCCTTGTGCGAGCGACGGACGTGGCTGTCATGAGCGGCGTGGGATGCAAAAGATTTACCACAGTACTTGCATTTAAAGGGCTTCTCCCCTGAGTGCTGCCTGATATGCGTGCGAAGGATGCTGGAGGCAGTGAACCTCTGCAGAGAACAGACAGCAGAAGAAAAAGTAAACTTCCATCACCTGCACAGCCAACTAGACAAAGGGGTTAACTTCAACATCACTGATCCTTAGTTCTCCAATAGATGAATCTGGGTTTTAAGGCTATAGAGCACTCCTCGTCAACAGTAGCGGTCTTAATAACAAAAGGACATGACAGACATGAGGCTCAGGACCCTGCGTATAAACAAGCAATTCCAATGCAGGTGGACCCAGGACCACACCAAGAGAACGTGCCTTAGAGGAGTAGTTTGCATTGGCCACGGTCTTGCATAAAGCAGTATCTTATTGGTTTCTTCTTTTTTTAAAGATTTTTAGGAAATCTCTCCACCCAACACAAGGCTTGAATTTATAACCCCACAACCAAGAGTCGCACGCTCCACGGACTGAGCCAGCCAGGCACCCCAGTGTCTTCTTTTTGTAAACTTAAAACTTTTTGAGGTGATTGTTTACTCACAGGCAGTCTTAAGAAATATTAGAGATTCTGTGTACCCTTTACAGAGTTTCCCTCAGCGGTACCTCTTGGAGAACTACGGTACAGTATCACAACCAGGATTCTGATGTTGATAGTGAAGATCAGAACAATTTTATCATGACGACCCCTCACGTTGCCCTTTTAGGGCCATACTGATCCCTCTCACTCCCACTTTTTTCTTTTAAGCCGTAACAACCGCTAACTGTTCTCCATTTTTGAGGCTGGTGTGTGGACAACAGCTCATGCTGTTTCTATTGCCGGGTAGCTCTCCCTGGTGTGGATGTGCCCAGTCTGTTCAATCACTTACCCGTTGAAGGACATCTGGGTTGTTTCCGGTGTGGGTTCTCATGAATAAAGCTGCTACAAGCATTTGTGCACAGGTTTTTGTGTAAAGATATAAACCTTCATGTCTAAGGTAAGTGACCAGGAGGACAATTGCTGGGTTGTATGGCAGTTACCAAGTTTAGTTTTTAGTGAAACTGCCAAATTTTTTCAGAATGGTTGTCACATTTTCGATTCCCAAGTACTTTGCTGTGTTTACGTATCTTTTCTTGGCCACTTCTGTTCTTTCCCTCATTCATTTCAGTACTACTTGTCACCTTCAAGTAGTATATTAGAGACATAATGACTTCATTTTGGGGTTCATTGACTGTGATATAAAACACTGGTTAAACTGGTGACCCCGGATTTGGGGGCTGAGAGAGAAGCACCGGACAACGGGGTGTCTGGGCACATGTGGAGTTGGGTCACTGCCTAGTCAGGTTCATAAGCTGTACCTGCCTGAACACCCACACATGGTCAGTCTTCATCAGCTTAAGTAACTGAAATCTAATGTGTCAACTGGGAGGCCAAATATTTAGTTCCCTTTCAGAACATCTCTCAATACCAGGTTAGTTAGAAGTTACAAGGTAGGGATCAGAGTAAGAACTCCAGAAACAGAATGCGTTGTGGAGTTATTCTGACCTTGCTCTGGATATCCTGGACAGAATTTATTCCTCAGGAGAGGCTGCTTTTTTCACACAAATCCATGGTCACCTTCCTTCAGTTTGTGCTGGCTCCACATGGTCTACTTCTGGCTCAGCCTCATTTCGCCATGTTGATTATGACCATTCTATTGACCCACAATTTCTTTGGCAGTAGGTTTCCCCAAGTCTGGTGCGCTCAATGTTTTATTCTTCTGTGGGAGGTTTAGATGTCCCCCTAAGACAGCCTATATTCCTTTTATGGCTTTATTATATAAAACTGATGACAGAATCAATCTATTCCTATGCAATAGGACTTGCTGCAATGATGGAAATGTTGTGTCCGTGCTATCCAATTTGGTGGTCAGCAGCCACATGGGGCTATTGAGCACTTGAAATGTGCATAGTGCAACCAAATTACTGAACTTCCCATTTTATTTCGTTTTTATTAAATTAAATAGCCACATATGGTTAATGGCTCACTAAGCATTGGGCAGCACAGATGTTTATCATCAAAACAGGACATGAGATATTTTGATATAATGTCTAAAGCATGGTCAAACCATTGTTTCTATTCCAGCAACTCCTAACTACATATTTACATATTTGTGTCTTCATTTTAATCATTCAATATTCTGTATAATGTACATTAGATTCCATTTCAGCAATGTTGCTCTAGAAAGATAGAGGAGTTTGTGCTCTTCAATATTATGTAATTGTGTCTGCAATCATCAGGGCTGTCTGTAAATCAGGGGTGTATTTCTTTAAAAAAAAGGTTTTTTTAAGTTTATTTATTTAAGTAATCTCTACATCCAACGTGGGGCTTGAACTCCGACTCAAACATCAAGAGTTGTATGTTCTACCGACTGAATCCAGACAACCCTGCAGGGTGTGTTTCATTACACGTGACCCAAATGCCAACTTGGCAGTAGGAGATCGTGTCTGATCATCTTAAGCAAACTGGAACATATTTAGGGATGGAAATGGGGTTTGGGCTGATAATGGACTAACCAAGAACTCCTTATAAGCCAGGCTTTATGCTTCAAGTTCTTAGCCATGAACATCCATCCAAACAGGGCTCAAGGCAGATCCCTTGGAAGGAGATTCCATTTACCTTTGTGCAGTATACACACTGGTATGGTCTGTCTCCAGAGTGGACTCTCGTGTGTTTGTTTAGGCTGGAAGACTGAGAGAAACATTTCCCACACGTAGAACACTAAGGTGTAAAAGAAACATGCAGTTAAAAATCACGTCTTCATTTTACCATTATGTTTATCTGGGAGTAAGAGGTAAAATATTCTATTTATCTTGCATATGTCTGTAGGCAGAGGATCAAGTAGACTCAGGCTGAGGGGTCTAATTAAAGTAGTAGAAAGACAACCCAGGGCTACACCGGAAGAATCTGGAAGCATGAGTTCTGGTCCAGAGCCTGCTCAATGCTGTGGCTTTCCATAATTCCTCTAAAGTTTCTGGCTGTCAGCTGCTTCAGATGTACAAGGTGGGAAGTGAACAGGAAGAGAAGCATGAATTAGTCCTGCTCTGTCAACAAGTAGCTGTGTGACCAGAGCAAGTCAGTTAAACTTGGACCCTTTGTCTCCTGCTTTTCTTGATGGGCACCACTCCACTTAATTCAACAAGTATTTATGGAGTACCTACTATGTGCTCAACACTTTGCTAGAGACAAGGAGCTAAAAAGCTAGTGGGTGTGGTGATGATTATGGAGCCCCAGATGGCAAAACAGGTGGCAGGTGGTCTGAGACACATTGTACCTACAAAAAAGTACCAGTTTGGGAGTCCAGTGAAAGCATGTGATGCAGCATGTGTTCACCTGCTGTCAAAGGTTCATGTTGTTTCTCTGTGCCACCTGCTGAATCTTTTCCAGGATCCCGAACCAGGTAAAGGAATATATTTTGCCTCCACACCCTGCTCCTCGGGTGTGCTTATGTGCACACACAGGAGAGAGGATATGTTTGGGGTAGATTTTATTTATTTTATTATTATTATTTTTTTAAAGAAATGTTTTTCAAATTTACAACCTTTTTTTTTTTTTAACGT